ACAATATATATTTAACACTATAAGCTATGCATGTTTTTAAATATACACTTAATCTAAACAAACATTGATATTAAATTAGATATATAATAATAAATTTGTCACATCTATCAGTAATATGTTTTTGAATTAGGAAAATATTAACCTTACATAAGGGGACTTACCAAGAACAAGAATGGGTAATGCCATGAACATAGCATGTTATTTATGTAAGGGAGCTTAGTACCAACAATAACATATTGTTTATGTAAGAGGACTTGTCACCAACTAGAACATGTTTACATAAGGGAACTTGCTACCAACAAGAACATGATGTTTATGTAAGGGGATTTGCTACCAAAAAGAATATGTTGTTTACATAAGGAGACTCACCACCAGAAAGAAAATGTTTATGTAAGGGAGCTTGCTACCAACAAGAACATGTTAAGTAAGTTTTTCAACATTCAAAACCAAACTGGATACATTAAGATGAAAGATCTCATTAAGGTTACTAATAACTTTATAAAAACATTTTTCTTAACTATCATAGTACAAGTTTTTATCAAGAAAAAATGTGTTAATATGTAGATAATTTCATGAGAATTTTTATTAAAATTATGGTTTTAAGACCCAATTGTTTTGAGGACCTCTAATAATAAATATAGAGCCTTAGTGATAGTGGCTTACAACAAACAAAGCAAATTTGAAGTACTTTTAAAGCATGATTCTGATTGAAAATTTGCAATTTTTAGATGTGAATCAAGCATACTAAAAAGTATTAATAACTTTGCTGTAATGATTTATGAATGCTTGTGTGCTTACTACATGAAAACATAATTTTGTGCTAAATCTAAAGTTTTGCCATACTAGTTAGATTTTTATGAACATTTTGAATTGATCAATTTTTAAGATATCTGTATCCTTAAAATAACATTTGTTTTGCAAAATATGGATAGAATGTTTTTTATTTAATTGCAAGCTTTCAAACCCTTTCAACAGCTCATCATCAGGTAGTAGACTAGTTTAATATTCCACCTAGTGATGAACTCATGACAGAGCTTTATTTTTTAAAATACGAAAATTTAACAGGCTTTTTATTTTACCACAAACTTTCAAACTATTTCAAGAGCTCGTCATCAGATGGGAACTAGTCTAGCATTCCACCTAGTGGTTGGCTGTAGATAAAGTTTTAAAGCTTATGATTAAATAAAATACATTATTATTATTATGTGTTGAAAAATGTTGTTAATGTTATATATTTTTTTATCCTATTAGATTTATGAATTATATTTAAAATTACAAATCTACAACAACGACCTTAAAAAAGAAAATTTATTTTTACTAACAAATTAAATTAGTGACAAATGATTATGGTTGTGAAAGATAGTACTTTCTTATACTAATCTGGAACAGTTAATATTGAAATATCTGGCTGCAACTGTATATGTAATCCAAAAGTGTTACTTACAAGCTATATTTTGTAACCTTGTTTCTTACCCATGCTGACTGATTAGTTTTTTAGTAGATGTCAGTCTGATATAATTGTATTACAATCTTTATCACTTTATATGGCATACTACCATAAAGGTGTATGTTATCTTGTCTTGGTTATATTAAAGCTGTAGATTTACAAATCTCAGGATCATAAGATCCTTTTTTTGTTTTTAGCAAAGGTATGACGAAATGTCTGAGCCCAAGTTCTTGTATGGATCTCACTATTCTACTCCCGGCTTTGTATTATATTACCTTGTTAGAAAAAGTAAGTTTAAAATGCTTTCAGTTTGATATAATTTGAATTTGGGAAATTTAGCCTTTTTTATCATGTCTCAGTAATAATTTTTACATTCTGTTTTTCAATATAATATTAAACAGATAGAAAACCAAATTACAAAGCTATGCTGCTAAGGCTTCCTAGGCTTTAAAGGCTAATTTCAGTGGCTTAAAAATTGCACATTTTATACTTAAGAATAAAATATTTTCAACTTTTTATTATTAACATATTGAATAGGAATATTTTTGTAATAAGATTGTAAAAGTGTGCAACGTTTTTACTTTTATTGTTTCTTTTAAATGTTTGCTTTTCAATCCATCATAAGTAAAAATATTTTAAGCTGCAAATACAAAATAAAAACATCTTTATGAACTAAAAGGACATATCTGTGCATTTAAACAAAATAACTTAAAAAAATGAAAATATTTGCATAAAATTATGTAAAGTTTCTTTATATTGTGACAAGAAATAACATTGTCAGAATACAGGTAAACAGAAGTGTGAATCAAAATGAGAGGAGAATTTAATCACATGTGTAGAAACTCAGTGTGTGAGCAGTGAAACTTGAATATTAGAGATGTTTTTATTAATTCACTAAACTCATAGTAGAGGGTTTGAAAATAGTTTTTACTATCTTAGTAAATATCAATTTCATGACACGTACAAAAAAAGATAGAAAACAAATAAAATTAAAGAAAACTACATAGCTGTATAAAATAGAGTAAAAAAATTAGCACGTGAGTTATGAAACTTAAGTTTTCTTGCCTTTTTAGGAAAGACAGAATCCAGTCAATAACATAACTAATAAACATTATAGTTACAGAATTTTTAATTTCTTATTTTGTAGTAATGAGTGCCTGGAATGATTTACAAATAAAAGAAATTACTTTAAAATCAGTGTTTTTTTAAAATGTGACTTTAAAAAGTGAACATGTTTAAATACTTATCATCATCAGGAGTTCATTTTTAAGAACACACATTATGAAGTTAAAATGATTTTGCTTAAATGATAGTAACGTTCTCCTAATACTGTAATTTTAATCAAGATGTTTTTATACTAGTGCCTCAGTATATGCTCTGTCTTCAAAATGGGCGGTTTGATAACCCTGACAGAATGTTCAACAGGTAAGGATACAAATGCAAGCCCATCCTTCTTGAAGTTGCCAATGTGGGTTCTTTTATAGTGTTATTAGAATAGTTTATAGAATTAACTGTTACAGTTAATCTTTTTTTTGTTATATTTTTTAAGATGAATATTTATGGTGAACTCCAAGATGTAAATTTTTCATCAGGAAAAGATTAAAGGATATGGTAGATTTTTGCCTCATTTTTTAAAAGTAATTTTATTTCATTAGTGTTTATTTCCATTTCTGACTCCTGAAAATGCAAAAAAAGTTATTAAAAATTACTGAAAAGGTGAAAGGACTAATGAGTCAAACATTCATTTCAAAACTGCTTCTGAAATATGTATTACTTTAGTTTTCACCAACCCACAAAACAGTCACAATTTAAGTTATAACTTGATTTTTACTGCTATTCTCATAAAATAAAAATAAAAACGGGAATTATGCTAAACTATTCAAACTTTAATCAAGAACACACTGAATCTCAGTATTTTGTCTCAACCAATGAAACTGATAGGCTATAAAAAAGAGAATTACATAAAAAACAGGAGAACATTTACTATATTTTAAAAACTTTGTGTTTTTTACCTTGTGAAATACATTTAATGAAGTTATGAACTCCATGATGTTTTTTGATATGAATTTAGGACTTTAACAAAGTTTAAGATATTGTTGATGTTGAATTACTGTGACATTAATAAATTTTATCAAGTGGATGTGATATGTATGTGCCTAATAACACTTTTGCTACAGGCATATTTTTCTGTTATATACATTTTAAGTTCTTAATTTGATAAGTTAGTATTTATAAAAAAATTATAATTTCCCCTAATATGAGAATTGTGACATTTCATATCATTTTTCTGATTTATTTACCACCTCTCTGAGAAGTATCAATTTAATGTAAATTACTTATTATAATTTAGATATTACTGAAGATTTTTCAGATGAAGAAAATTTTTTATAATCTTTACCTGAAAATCACTTTGCATATGGAGCAATCAAAACTTTGTCTCTGTATACAAATGTAGAAATTTTTAGTGAAAATACTTCACCAAAAATCACATGTTGTGTCTACAAATGACTCTTAATGATTACTGAAAGCTTGAAAAATTTTGTGAAGATACACAAAACGTATTAGAAGTTATAGTATGGAAACCATAAAGGTCAATTTGGGGTCACAAACTTGGCCGATCCAACAAAGCCCATAGTGAGTGAGATAATGTGTTTCTTATTTAGTAATACCTTCCATATGCCTTGTTTAATTTATAGTGTTTCATACAGCTTTTTTTATCTTACCTTGCTCACATTCTAACATTAAATATTTTTCTAATATTGATCACTATGGTTGTCATAAGGTGGATAATGAGGTTTTTTGATTATGTGAAGGAGGAATAGTTAGTTTATTCTAATGTTTTTAATTATAAAATATTGTGCTCCCCTTGTTTTGAAACTGCAGTATATCAGACACGTGGAGAAATATTACCACCAACTCTTCGGATTTCAAAGAACTTGTTCCACAATTCTATGATACAGAAACTAAAGGGGATTTTCTCTGTAACATACAGGTTAGTCTTAGTTTCCAACTTCTGTTTCATAAATAACTTGATGTAAAATTGCATCAATCTTATTTTTTAAATAAAAGATACTGTTGTAATAATATATATTTATTAATAATTAATAAATATGTTGGTGAGAAATTTAGTATTTGACAGTTTTTTAAATAATAAGAATACATTGTAATAAAAATATTCAGAAAGTATAGGGTTTACAACTTGTAATGTGTTTGATGACACTTTTGGTAAATTAGAATATTTATAAAATATCTATAATGACGTATAGATATGTTAATTACTAATACATGAAGTTTTCTTTAGAAAGTATTTTATAGATGTTAAAAGAATTTTTGTAATTTTTAGTTAACATTTAATAAAAACATAATGTTAAGTTCTATGGTCTCATTATTCCTTACAACATTGAATCCAATCCTTCATAAAGATCTTTAGATCATTTAAAAATAAAATTTGTATTTTTTTCTGTTCATAGTAGGGTTATATTTTATGTTATACATTACTAAACTGAATTCATTGATGAAACCAGTTTTTGGAAAGAGTAATTACATTTTTCAAAAGAGAGAAGTTGAAGCCCAGGATGACTAAATAATTTCTCAGGAATATTTTATTAATTTTCTTCATTAATATTAACACACAGTTTGTGAGTCAATGAAACTGAACTTGGGTTATTGGATGGACTACAGAGGGGTGTCTCCATTTCTGGTATTCAAGTTAGAACCTAAAAACAATGCTTACTGTCAAAAGAACTCACCTTTAATAATGTTCTATTCACAAAGATGCAGACTTTATGGGGTTGGCTAGACTGTGTTTCTCTTGCACAAAATATAAGTGTTCATGTTTGGACAGGTACTATACTTAGCCACTTACAGCAGCAAGTAAGCTTTGTAGAACTTTCCTGGGCCATTTCTATCAACAGAACTTGTGAAAATACAGAAAAAATGGCTTTATGTAGCTAAGGAACCAGATTTTATATTGTATAACGTGCAGCCACCACCATATTTTTGGTAGGATTTTGAATGGGGATGTGGGTTTTACTCCTTCATAGCCTGGAAACTAGTGCAAATTTAGCTGTGATGGTGAGCAATTATTCAAATTCCAGATATGACATCTCTATTCAGAATTTATAAAAGCGAGTACAGAAAATCTTTGTTTGGAATCAACCCACCAATAATATTTCCCTGACTTGTCGACAGGGTGTTATTACATAAAATGTTCATAATTGCATAGAATGAGGCTCAACTGAATTTGTATCACTTAGTAATATGTAAATTCTTTTTCTTTACAGATACTTTGATTTAACTAAATTATGCTTGACTATGGTTTTAGAATGAAATTTTTGTACTAGTTGTGTTGAGTAATAATTATGAATCGGGGGATAAGACTAATGAAGTTTTGATGCCATAGAGAACAAAATAAGGAACAGAATACAGATATTCATCCAAAATTTATAAGGAACTATGCATTTATTTTAGAGTGTAATCAGTGTTCTCAAACTTATACAACAGGTACTTTATACAAAGTTATAAACCTAATTAACTTTTGAATGTCATATGTCAAAGGTAATTGGGGCATAGGTGTTTTATAAACACAATTAGCATTCTATTAGTTTTATATTCTGTTCAATACAATTGACATCTTTTCAGCATCTTGACTTTGGTGTTCGGCAAGATGGAACAAAAGTTGGTGATGTTGAGTTACCACCATGGGCAGAAGGTATTAATATGTTTTAAGACTCTTGGTTATAAGAAAAGTAGAAATAACATTATGAGACTATGGTGTAGTGTAAGAAGACATGTGACTATCCTGTTGCAATTAATTATTTATAATTGTTCAACAGACTAACTGATAAATTAGTTATGAATTTTTGTTTTCCTCACTAAAATGTTTACTTCAGTGAAAAAAATGAAGACTCCATGATTGACATAGGAGCCTAAATTGTTCTTTGATTTGTTACTGTCTCTGAGACAAAACTATTTACTGCACAAAGAGTTGGGATTACGCCTCAACATCATTTATGGATGCTTGCTTTTTTACACTGAAGCTACACATTTCCGTGAGGAAAAAGACAATTCGCAATTAATGTGGTACATTGTAAAAATAGTGACAGTTAATCTTTTTTTGATCAACTTTTGCAGTAGTCTGACTAGTATAAGATTTCTTTTAAATATTAAAAGAATATCATCTTATCTGCTCTGTGTTGACATCTTTTTGGTAATCATTTTGTCACACTTCTCAGAATAGTTTCATTTTTTTTAGCTATTAACATCAGCTCTGTTGATGTAATAAAATCTATGTGTACTTCATTTGAATATCACGAAGAAATAGTAAGGTATTATGGTACACAATAACAGCTGTTATTTATAGTCTATTATCCCATTAAACATCACAGATGAAATTATTTAAAGAAATAAAATGTACAAACACTTCACAAGGATTAAATATAAATTAATAGCATTGCTAAAGCTACATCATAGTGTATTGTTAATTGTTTTATATGTTGTGCTATATTTATTTAACTTTACCTTAACAAAGATTATGTGCTTTTACTTATAAATAAAACAATTAGCACTTAATATTGACTCAAAACTTCTTTATAAACCTGAGACTGAGTCACATTGTAATTCTGTCAGTGTTTGTATTTAAAAAAAAATGTTTTTAATATGGAACAAGGACAAACATGAATAAAATGTAAACACTTAAATTATTGCTATTACAAAATCTGCAAGAAAGAATATAACTTATAGAGGGTTGAGTGCATTATATTATAAGTGATTTTGAATACTCAAATCAGCATCTCACACGACAGTCACAGCAGATATGAAGTTGTGTTGGATTTTATGTATGAAAATTACATGTTACGTTGTTTGATAATGTGATGCCATTGAAAATTAATTACTTTTGTGAAGGATATATACCAACCCTTTCCAACGTAAAATATTCATATGCTCATCTCATCAAGATGTGTTCATCTTGGGAATTTAGAACTTCTAAGAAGGAAATATGCAATTTACTTAATGGTATTGGAAAACAAAGGAATATGGATTGACCAGGACCATCCAGAAAGAGACCTGCAATAAGTCATATCTCAGTTGTGGTAAGCAAAGTGCAGAGTCTTGTAATACAAACTTAAGTGTCAGTGTCAAAAGCCATCCATGTATCTTAAGCAACAGTGCACAACAAATCAAAAAATATATCTGTCTGGAAAAAATTACACAAAATAGTACCACAACTTATCCATTCATCCAGTGTAGAACTCAAGCAGCTGGAGAATGAAATGGATTTTCATGCTATTCTGTACAAAGACATGCTAATCAAGTCACTGGATGCAGTGCCTGTAGATTTCTTTGTAACTGGACTGTTGAAACTCTTGCTTTCATCCATTAGATGGATTATGGAAAGCTGGCAGAGATGAGTTTATGCTTTGGACATGACAGCATCATGACAATAGCTTTTTTGCAGTGAAAACTACCTGCTGAACTATTGTGAAGTTACACAGTCTTCAGATAGAGAATGACCAAATATAAAATCATGACTGTAATGATGTGATAAGGTTTTGAAATGGTTTTAATATAACATAATCATCCTCTGTATTACAGACAAAAGACTGTTGGCTTATCTACATGCATTTGTAAGAACTTATCAGTGAAAGTAAAAAGAATGTAATAATTTGTTAACCACACTATATTTGGTGCATATTATGCCAACAAGGCTTTTCACTCAATAATAATCTTATCAGCCTGGTTGGGATATAACAGACATAGAAATGGTGGAGACATTAATTGAAAGTGAATTTTAATGAAAAAAAATTCTAAGCTAAGTTATATTACTTTTGTAATTTTTTTATCAATACAGTTTTCACATCTCTTCCATTCATGATATCTGTTCTTCTAATGCATATACATTGTAAGATTTCTATAGTTATTTATATATTAAACTTAAGCTGGCAGTTTTACAGTTGTTTTAATAGTGAAGTAATAAATCACACAAATCCATCTCTATGAAGCATTGAAAATTATTATTCTGAAGAAAATAGCTTATAGTATTTTTTTTATTCATTTATAAATTTTATTGATTACCAATCCAGAAAATTGGTGATATTGAATAGAACAGTATTTTTTATTATTAGGAAAATATCCATAAAATGTAAGAAAAAAGAAAATGAATAACATTTGAAATGAAAGAAAGTTTACAAAATTTTATATTCTGCCTTCCATTGACCATAAAAAAAAAGTGAAATTTGCTTAGAGGTCAGTTTACATTCAGAGGTCTTCAGATATTTAGTTTGTGCTTTAGTGTTAAATAATATTGCAGAATAGTAAGATCGAAATAGATCAGTACTTTTTTGTAAGTAAATTTATCAGAAAACGTTTTATTTAATTCCCTGTTACTGCAAAACCATTCTCAACACTGGGCTTATGGGTGTGTTTTAAGAGTAATAGTCAAATCTCACTATTTGGTTAAGAGTAACTCAAAAGTTATCATTGAATGCTGTTGATTGTTCTTTTCTTTCTGGTCTATCCAATTTAAAATTAGTGATGGCTGTCATAGATAACCCTTTTAATATTTTGTAATATTTTATTGTTGCTTTTTGGTCCATTGTTTTCAAATAACAAATGGAAAAATCTATCTGTACACAAGTGTAAAATTTTTGAAATATATAAGCCATAAAAATCAGACTTTAATCTATGTATTCTACAGAAATAATACTGCCTTCTCTGTGAAATAATTCTATATTTCTGACACTTGTAAGTTTAAGCATTACAGTGTGAAACTCAGACTTGTGAATTTGTGTTCACTAGATCATTGTGGATTTGTTCAAACACTGCGTGAAGCACTTGAATCTGATTTTGTGTCTCAACACATTCACGAGTGGATTGACTTGGTGTTTGGATACAAGCAGCAGGGAGAAGAAGCAATTAAAGCCAACAATGGTTGTATAGCGTGATGTTGTTTGTGTTACATAGAAGACAGTAATAGTAATCAATGAATAGCATGAGTTAATTAGGTCTAACTTATATTTTTGTGGTATTCATTGTATATAATATCTCTAGTCAGATCTGGTACTATATTTTTAGTGAAGAGCTGTACTGTATAGGGAATTGTCCTAAGATTCAATGAATACAACATGTATTTATAAGGTCTCAAGTTATGTTACTGTGGTGGATATTATTGTATTGTATAGAACGACATCAGTAGTCAAGTAAATGTATAGTACAACTTATTGATATATTTCTATATTAAATGTATTGTTGCTCTGTAGAAAGAAATCAGTGGTCATGACGATATTTGTATATATTTCTATATCAATGTGCTGTACATTATGTATGTTGGATGAAACTACATATACTAGGATGTTATGTATGTTGGATGAAACTACATATACTAGGATGTTATGTATGTTAGATGAAACTACTTACTCAAAGACATTATGTATTTTAGAAGAAACTACATAATGAGTAAGGACATTATGTAAGAAAATATTTTAAATGTGAAAAAATAAAGTAAAAATGAAATGTATATATAAGAAGCTAACTAAACAAAATATAAACATCTTGGATCTAAGAAAAAGTCATCTAAACAAAGAAAAAAGAGGCTTCTTGTAGGTAAGATGTTAAACAACTTGAGTATACTAATATGATAATAGATTAGCAAACATTGATTTATAAGCATAATAAAGTGATTTATTTAGGGAAACATGTTCTCCCAAAGATAAATCACATTATTATGCTTATAAATTGTTATAGACAGTTTTAATGTTTAAAAAG